TAATCATAATAATAAAAACAATGATAACAGTAACGGCAAAGATATCTTCGGTTATGAATATCAAGATAGTTATTGATATTTCTGTCAGTAGCAGCAACAGTTTATTAATAACAATAATATGTATCCCAGAAAATGACACAATCATTTTGTACGATATACTATCCTGAGAGAAAACATTCAGTTCAACGGTATATTTCCATGCCATCCACCCCCGCCCCCCCTAAAAAAAAATAAGATATTTACTTCTCCCCCCCCCCCCCCAAGAAAAAAAATAATAATTAAAGAAATTACTCCTTTTCATTCCATCCCTCCCCCCAAAAAAAAATAAAAATAAATAAATAAATAAATACACTTTCAATATCTCCAAAACTTTTCTGTAGATATCAGTGAGAGTCCTATCAAGTGTAAATAGGTAAAAAAGTAGGGAGAAATATTCATTTTTTGAAAGCCAAAGTCTTTTTTTTTCTCTATCTCAGTTATCGTGCAATATCTGTAGCATCGCTTGCAGTACCTTGGTCATTTGGATACTAATATAATGGATGTGAAACGATTATGTAATGAACGTAATGCCATGGCCATGTTGCCATTCATGTTGACATAAAATGGCAAAGAGTAAGAGTTCTTTGCCATGTTCTTTGGTGTTCGTTGTTACGGGCCGGTTGTTACTTCTTACCTCTCTCAAGTAATACTTTTCAGATACAACGTAGACAATGCCTCGGACATATACATGGAAGACGGTGTTCTGGAGAATCACTTAGAAGAGTTGCAGATCAGTTTTATTTATGGTATGTTCAGGGTGCTGGATGTGGCAAATAAGAAAAACAGTGTTGATCATTTTTATATAGAACTGGAAAATGAACTAGAATTTATAATTGTATATAGACATGAATATGCTCATAAACACATATGTATATAAAAGTGTACACTGTATATGTGTGTATATATATACATAGATACACATACACATGCACACACACACACACACACACACACACACACACACACACACACACACACACACACACACACACACACAGGTGCTTATGTAAAGGAAATATGGAAATTTGCATTCGAGTATGCAAGAGCAGTGTGGATTTCTAATGAAACTGCTGGTAAAGAGTATTTTTCAGGCTTCATGAAACGGAACACAGGCCTCCTACTTCGCACACATGAACCCACACGCTTGAGCAGGGCTACTAGTTTTAATGAGACAAATGTGAATTGGTTTTTGGACAACCTAGGTCAAGTTTTTGATCAATACAAGTTTGAGATCAGAGACTTATCATTGCAATAAGACAGGGATGAGAAGGGAGCAAAGCAGGTTAGCACTTTAACTTCAGCTGAAAGAGGTGCCTCAGTAACATTTTGTATTGCAGCTAATGTCAGTGGCAATAGCATACCCCAGTGCTTGTGTTTCCAAGGTTACATTTCCGAGAACACTTCGTTTTCAGTTGACCTCAAGAGTGCTGTGGATTAACTAATGTGATGAATTATTTTTGCTTTTTACTACGTGTATTGATTTACCCATGGTATGTAACAACTTGATCAGTATTTGGAGGGGGGCATTGGTGCAGTTGACATGCTTTCACAAACTGTTGAATAAGTGTGTGAGAATAAGTATTTCTTTAAGTGTGCCTACAAATATAATGAAAATAGATTTTCAGGTTTACAGGTTTTTAAATCTTGGAGTTCTAAAGCAAAAGGTAAAAAGCGTCACAACTTGACTCCTTTTCCTTACCCCCCCCCAAAAAATACTCCATTTCCTTCCACCCCCCCCCCCCGCTCCAAAATGACTTTGGAGAAAAATATACGCAAAGAATCGGTTGAAAACTTATCTTTAAAAATTACAAATATATAATTAAGGATATACAGGTACAACCAACTGGCCCAATAATATAGTTCATTAAACCAATTAATTTAAGGACATATGAATTAACTAAACTATGTTTAGTGTCTTTTATTAATTACTTTAATCAATATTTATAAAGACACAATATGATATGTCAAATAAAATTCGTGATTAATTCAAACTAAAAACTGATATTAAGGAAAATAATGAATGATAATAAAAGTACTTTAATAAGCTGTATTCTTTATATATCAACATTTGAAAAGAAATATCTAGTTTCACGTAACTGAATGCTTAATTTCAAATAATAATGAGACTTAATACTGTGTTATTACCGACCCTTTCAAATGAAATAAGTTATATCATTCGCTATCACTTTTACGATAACAGATTACACAATATTATGTAAGCTGATTTACATCAACCCACATATTCCCTTTTAAATTATTTGACCACAAAAAAAAAAAAAAAAAATCTGTTTGATTACTTCTGAATATCACGTACATTGTGAGCGTGTGTGTGTGTGTGTGCGCGCGTGTGTGTGTGTGTTTGTGTGCGTGCGTGCGTGTGTGTGTTTTTCCTCCCTTTTCATACTCTTCATCCTTCTCCACACATTTTGGAAACAAGATAAATAAGAAAAAAATAAAATCCAAAAAAAATAGTCCTTATAAAAAAAGGAATCGCCATGAACATCTTTAAAATGTATATTCCACATTTTCTGAAAATAAAACACAAAAAACTCGTCAAGAATTCTTTATTATTAAAAAGATCCTATAAAATGGCTGCCGTATCTCACCCGCACTCCACAATGCCATGGAATTTCTACAACAATATCAACTATTAAGCTCATCTCATCTTAACAAACAGAAACACGAGGGATAGAAAAAAAACAAGCAAAATTCAGATAAATTAGAGAGACAGAGAATTTGCTAAATATGAGAAGAGAAAACAGATATACGTTTATGTGAAGTTGTGACTTTTTGAAACAAAAGATTAGTTTCTCTGTTTACTTTCTATATTTTTTTTTGTTTGTTTGTTACCTTTCTCAGTATTTTATTTACTCTATTTAAATTCTATTTCTTCTCTATATCTTCTGTTTGTGTGTTTGTTTGTTACCTTTATCAGTATTTTTTCTCTCTATTTAAATTCCAGTATGTTACTTTCAAAATGATTCATTAAAATTTAATATAAGTAACCTCTTCCAAATTCTCCGTTTCATTTATTTTCCTTTTCTTTTTCTTCTCTCTTTCTTCTTTCCTTCTTCTCTGCTTATTAACCTTTCTCTCTCATTCCTCTTTTCTTCTTCTTTTTCTCTTCTTTCTCCTTATTACTCTTTCTCTTTCATTGCTCTTTTCTTCTTCTTCTTCTTCTCTCCTTACTCCTTATCATTCTTCCCCAAAGCAAATATATCTTGATTCAAGTCCTTAAAAGCAAGGGATACTTTACAAAGTACAAATATTTAAGTTTAGAATAAAAGAGGAAATTTTAAACAAAATATCACCCGTTAAAATAAGCTTCCACAAAATTCTCAACAAAAACAAACTTTAATATTTCCCTTGCAGTATCATAACTTTCTCATCACAGACATCACTGCTTGCAACTGAAAGCAATCAAAATAAATGCACGAAAAGCCATTTTCCATTTTCCTAATTCATTTCCCTCTAAAAGAACGACTAATAAAGCAGAAAAAAAGATAAACAAATACAAATTTTTAAAATGGGCTAATAAATACACTTATCAAAGGTTTATCATTTTAAAGTTTCTCTCTATATAATTTATCAACCCAAAATATGCGAAAGATAGAATCACCGTGCAAAAGTACGAAAACATGCAAGTATTTTTGCTTTTGGATATATCTCGAAACTTTCCCTAAACAACTGGCAACGTTACGATGGTAATTATGGGTATTATGCATTCCTATTTTTACGTGAATAATCAGCACGATAAACAAAAAAGGCCCTTCTGTTCCTTGGTATAGCAGCGTCCTTATTCCTTGACATTTTAATGATTAAATTTTATACGATATAATTTACATTACAGTCACAATTAAATGACAACCTCAGTTTGATTACAGAATTTACTACAGTGCTGTAATTATGATGTTTCCTCTTCATTATTAATCACAACAAATCAAGTCAATAACATTTACAATGCGTTTGAAAACATTTGAATTTTCGCTGAAGATTTTAGCCGACTTTTATGACTGAACGCGACAGACAGACTTGGTTCATATTCCTCTCTTAGAACGTTGTATTTTCAACCATCTAGCTTCCAGTATCAACGTGTAATTCGACCATGTTGCCACCCAATCAAAGGCTGCGTTCAGTATCACCCACATCTAAATTTGCTAATGGTTATATTGCAGTCATCAACGGCAGATCTGTTACCACAATCAACATATCAACTAATACTGCATCCAGTAGCAAAGATCTATAGCCTCATCTGAGTGTCCATATTCATTTTATAGTGGGAAAAGATAAATTTAAATATCGGATCACACTTTCACCCACTCGAAGCAGTTTTCAGAATCCATTCTAGCAAAATGGGAAAAAAAACGGTTACACCGTATTTATCACGCATGATATAGGATCTTCCTTAAATTAATGTCAGGAATAGACAATACAAAACGACCTTACTCATCTATTAGTCTTTATACAAGGATAAAAAGAAGTCTAATCAGCTAATATCGTGTGTGTTTGACTAGTTATCACTAAATGGCAGTTATGTCTTCCATTCGTAGTTCCCTTTCTTCTCTTTCTCCCCCCTTGTGCCTCCCTTCGCCTCGGTTAAAGAGTTCGTTCGATTCAATCCTTCCTTGAGGTCACAGCCTAGGATGATGATCTCTTGCTGACCTTCGATGGTCTGTGGGGGGGCAGTCGCCGAGGTAAGATGGCCCTTGGCGAACTTCAGTGATTCTCGAAGGCTTTCGGCGATGAATGACTTGGCAGCCTTCAGTAGTCTTCGACTGCGATCTCTTTCCGACGAATTCCGAAAGCCTCCGACGATCCCCGACGAATCCCGACGGCCACCGACGATACCGGACGAATGCCGATGGCCTCCGACGACCTCCAACAACCCCTGACGATTTCCGACGAATTCCAACAGCCTCTGCGAATCTCGATAAAGTTCGGCAACCCTCGACGATCTCCGACCAATCCCGACAATCTCCGACGAACCCCGACAGTCCTTGACAATCCCCGACGAATGCCTACAGCCTCCGACGTCTCCCGACAATTCCCGACAGCTTCCGCCGAACTCGGACCTACGTCGGGGCAGGTCACGAGTCGCAAGAGCTGGGTCGCGAGGCGGTCGTGGCTTCGCTCTCGGACCTGGATATGGAGCTCCAGGAGGAGCTGGATCCCTCGGCCGACGCGTCCTCGGCGGCGCTGTCCTCGCCCTTCTCCCTCGCCGCCCGCCGCCCGTCCTCGTCGGGCGGGAGCGGCGGTGGCACTGGCGCAGGAGGCGGAGTCTCGCAGTTGACGATGACCGACACGGAGCTGTCGGCGCTCGTGCCCCGCTCGCCCGGCTCCTCTTCGGACGCAATCGGCGCGAGGACGGGGGCGCCCCCGGGGCCGCCGGGCGTCGCCGAGCCTCCCGCGCCTCCGGCCGCGTATCTCCGGCAGTCGAGTAGGTAGCAGCGCCTTGCGAACGCCCCCGGAGTCTCCCGCGGGTGGGGGTGGTGATGCGGAAGGGCGTGTTCGCGGGGGCCGTAATGCGCGCCCTCCTCCAGGGACAGCGTGATGAGAGGCAACGGCTTCACCAGACGCTCCGCCGGACGCACCTTCTTCGGCTTCCGCTTCTCGACCTTCACGGGGCCCTTCTTGATCTGGCGACCTACCACCTGCAGGAGATTTGAAATCGTAATGACACTGTAACAATAGCGATTCTGATCATAATTATTAGATATGGTCTATTGCTCATGGTTGCATAAATATAGATTATTTTTGCCGTTAATCTCTCATTACTATACCTGCCATGAACATTATCATATTACAATCATTATTACAATCACCACCATTAAAACCATTGTTATCTTAAAGTTCTAAACAACAAAAAGCCTCTCTGAATCATCCTAAATGAAAGTTCAACTCAATCTAAACCTAACACACGCTTCATCCATAACCTTCAATCTTTACCAAAGCTCAACTCACACCTTCTTAAATCTATCGCCTCCTATCTTCATTCGATACATAAATAATTCTTAATAAACATGACTTCACATCTGCAACTCATGCACCATTCGCCACAAGCACAGTGAAGTCGCGTAGTGAACGAAGCTTCGAAACGCTTCAAAACGAAACAACAAAGACCTGATTATCTGCGTGTTCTAGACAGCTTAAACAAACACGATTATTACACTATAATAACGCTATTAGTTATTAGCTAGAGTCACTCTCACCGGCAGATTATAAACATAATAGGTTGATTTTCATATACCTTCGTCTAAACCACTTGAAAAAATACACAATATTTCACTGAAATAAATTTTGAGGAAAAAGTCTGTATAATAAAGGGAAATTCTACGAAGTAGCATGTGTAATTAATGCTTCCATAGTCTGATCTTTATCATTAACTGGCAACGTTAATGACACACCTTGTCAGGGCCGTCGCGACGGGGGGGTGTGGGGGTGTGACACCCCCCCTGAAAAAAGCATCTGTCGGCAAATGAAACCTTAAACGTGCATTTTTTCGGCAAATTGGTAAATTTTGACAATTTTTGCTGCTAATTAGTCGGCGCTCTCAACGAATGGTCCACGGAACATAGAGTTATTGTGTGACTAATAAAGTCACCAATGCCCAACGCCCAATGACCACGCCCTTGGTCGGCAAATTTGAAGCATTACACCCCCCTGCAATGCTGCCTTCCCGACGGCCTTGCACCTTGTTTTGTGAAATAATCACTTGGTAATCATATTTCAATTTTAATCAAACAGACAAAAAACGTTTTATATCTCAAGAATTCTTATCGAAAACGCTAATTAACAACAGAATAAAAATAGTTTCCTTCGCCTCAGCTTCATCCTAAACCGACCAACAAAAACAAAAATAAATGGAAATAAAATGAAAAAATAGGAACGTAACAGTAATTATCTGGTGGAGTAGTTTTCAATGCTTTTCAGACCCGTCCCACTCCCCTTTCAGTTTGGAACAGAATCTATCTCTCACTCTCTCTCTTTATTTCTATTTCTATTTCTATTTCTATTTCTATTTCTCTCTCTCTCTCTCTCTCTCTCTCTCTCTCTCTCTCTCTCTATATATATATATATATATATATATATATATATATATATATATATATATATATGTATATATATATATATATATATATATATATATATATATATATATTACATATATATATATATATATATATATATATATATATATACATATATTTGTCTCTCTCTTGTATAAATATAAAACTGACGGATTTGGATTTTATTGCCTAACTCAATAAGGCTCATTGGCTCGGAATCACTGATCTAGAGTATCACCTACACGCAAAATCAATACGCCCACTACCTATCACTTCAACTTTATCTCATTCACCTAAGTCACTTGTCACCTAAACAAACAAACAAAAAAATCTGATTCACCTAAGTCACTTCAATCACCTTTATAACAAATTAAAAGAAATGAAAATCTAATTCGCCTAAATCACTTCAATGGCATAAGCAAACTAAAAAAAAAATGAAAAAAAACATAATTTCATAACAAAAAAAGCAGAATCTCATTCACGTAAGTTACTTCAGTCACCTAAACAAACAAACAAATGCACAAAAAAACATTGTACTAACGTGAATTCCCTACAGCACTAATCATTTGCATATTCTAAAACCTACCAACTTCACTTCATCTCATTTCATTCGTCCAAAAAAAAAGAAACACACATCTAAACAACGAAAAAAAAACTTCAGTTTCTGATACCCATGGAATTCCTAATGGTACCTTGTCATTTTATAAGCAAACTAAAATTGATACCAGTTCTCCCAAGTACCACTAATCTTGTAACATTATTCCCTTAATCTATATCACATAACCATAAGGAAAAAACGAGCCACTAAATGTATAATAAAAATGGTCTATAAGTTTTATTATTTTAACCCATTGGCGAGAGGTAGGCCTATATGTCTTATGTTTTTTTCTTGTCTTTTTTGTGAATTTTGTTACCCATAGATGGCTCCACCAGTGCCATTAGTAGGCTCTGCGTGACTCTCGATTTTTTGTGATTTTTTCAGTGCTGTTAGTATCAGTGGTGTTATTATTATCATCATCAACATTTTCATGATCATAGAATTTAAAGAAATTAATAGTAATTTGCAGAATAATAAAAATCTTTATGAAAATCAGGGAAAGGGGTAAACAAGTGAGGTAGGCAGACTAAATGACTCCATGGTGACGAAGCACTTGTGGAGCCATTCGTGCTTAAATAAAATGTATGGCACAGTCAGTAAACTTTATCCCCCATTCACCCAAGCCATCTGGAAGAAAAAAATAAAAGAAAAAGGCAAATTTTTAAAAACTTATTATACCAGATTCTACTTTTGGCCTTGATTTTTTTTTTTTTTCTAACAGCCGGATGCCCTTCCTGCTGCCAATCCTCCTCTGGCAGCACACTAAAAACATTGCCTCTGAAACACAACTCTTTCCTATAATAATTTATTCATGTATTATGTGTGCATAGTTATTCTATTATATTATATTATATCATTACTGCACTAAAACACTTAAATATTTAATGGTGAAACTGGCGCCTGACTGGACTAGCAAACCCTATATCAGGAAGAACCGTTGAGAATATACTCTCAATTCCTTATTAGTACTATTGCCATCTTTATCATTATTACTAAACTATATTTTCATTCACATAAACATTTTCATTCACATGGAACTCTAAACTGCCAAATATTTCAGACTATAAAATTAGTAGTAAATTAGGATTTTTAGGCGACAGATTTAGGCAAACATTTGTGTGTCGCGACCTAGTGAATTTTCATAGATTTAGACATGCATACATACGGAAATAAACGCATGTCTGTCTATTTATCTGATTGATGTACATTTATTTTTTCTATCAGTCTATCCGATAGATAACAATTCTCAATCTGTGTATCACGACTCTCCTCCAGATGTGTCGCGAATTATTTTGAAAAAAAAAGAAAAAAAAAAGAAAAAAAAAAAAAAAAAGATAAATAAATAAATATATTTCTTGTCTCCTAATTCACTTCCTTTTTTTGTAATCTGAAACTCTGGACCATGAGTGCCACCCACCTGCAGATTGACTCCAAGGTAAGGTGGGTTTGGCACTGATCGCTCGCTGTCCCTGTATGCCAGCTCGAACTGCCCTGTGTCTGCCGTTTTGTTGTGCTTGTAATCCACCACGACTGTTTGGAATAAGAGCTTGGTTATTTATATGGAGGGAAAAGAAAGGTACTTTTTCCTGCCATTAAATGGGGGTTTTCTTTCTTAGTTTGTATTCGTTTTTATTACTAGTATTTTTAACCTTTGTGTGAGTTTTTTTTTAATTTACTTAAAATCAATTAATTGCATTAAATAAACTATATCTTCCGACGTATGTTTAAAGCGCATTGTCTTGGTCACATGTATCAACAGTACAATACTCGTTATCTTTTCTTCACTGTACACTCAAGAACAAGTATAATGGTACTCCCGTGGTGATAATTGCAAGATAACGATGCCATTTCTATAATCAAGGCTAGAGTGTAATTAGTGGATGGTCTGTATATGCAAATTAATTTGACTTGAATAAAAAATCTGTCAGAGCGAGTAGAAAGTAAACGTATAAACAATTATTATTTGTAAATTTTGTAATATGGTATTTTTTATTACGTAATCCTGCTTATTTGTCTTCATGTTTCTGTTTAGCTTTTCTATTAGAATAAAAATTAACATTAAACTATCGCTAATGAATTTCCCAAATCCTCTTGACCTGAACAACAAGGTTCACATTATTTGAGGACGAAACGAAATTCGAAAAATATTCAACAAAAAAATTCACCTAGACTACACATACTATATAGTCCTATCACGATAATCCCCAACCAAAATATACACATATCGTGTTTATAAACAATACACATACACAAAACACAATATACACCTTTAACAACATCTAACCATCCATATATAAACCACAATATACACCTTTAATACCACCTAACCATCCAAATATAAACCACAATATACACCTTTAATACCACCTAACCATCCATACATACATAAACATAATACATAAACATATACATAAACCGTAATATATACCTTTAATAACATCCTGCAGACACTGTGCACACATTCTCTTCGTGACGCTGGTGGTGGACGCCATACACGGGGATGAGTTGATCTCGATGAGCCAAGGTCTGCAAGGCAAGGCGGAGGATGAGGCCGTGAGTGGGGAGGGGTGTTGTTGTTGTTGTTGTTGTTGGTGGTGGTGTGTGGTGGTGGTGTTGGTGGTGGTGGTGGTGGTGGTGGTGGTGGTGGTGGTGGTGGTGGTGGTGGTGGTGGTGGTGGTGTTTTGAAGAGAGGAGGGTGAGGAGATGTTGTTATTGATGTTGTTGTTGTTGTTGTTGGTAGTGGTGGTGGTTGAAGAGAGGAGAGTGAGGTAATGAATGGTGAGGAGAGATGTTTTTGTTATTGTTTTTGTTGTTGTTGTTGTTGTTGTTATTGGTGGCGGTGTTGTTGGTTAATGACTGCTGACGAGAACTGTTGTTGTTATTGTTGTTGTTGTTGTTTGAAGAGTAGAGATTAAGGAAATAAATGGTGAGGTTACGGATGGTGATGACACTGATATTGTATTTGGTACTGATCCTGATACGGATATTGATAATGATACTGATAATGATAAAGGTTCATTGATATTGATAATAATAATCAGCATATGTTATGACAAATGTTAAGTGAGGTCTCATTGACAATGATAATCTTTTTATTGATACTGATACTGGTAATAGTATTTTGATACTGATATTTTCAAGGATATTTTTAATTTTTTAAATTAAATAAACCTGATGAATCTTATTCTGCAAAGCAATAGATATTGACTGGATTAAATTATATATAACCATAGTAGTATATATCAAGGCCTTTTTTTTTCCTAATCACCAAAAAATAAATATATATAAATTGTATCTTTGTGAGGAACTGACACAGAACAAATAAAATTCATCTTATATATTTTTGTACTTGTGTTTCAATTTATTTTCGAGTCTTCTGGTTTTGTTTTTACCAAATCCTTCTTTTAATTTTAAACTTAATGCTATTCTGTTTTGCGTTCTGCTCTAATGGGCGCCAAAGTGTTCGAATTCGTACCTAATGGCATCTCTTAAATTAATGCCCCCCCCCCCCTACTTCCCTTCCAAAGAGTAGGAGAAAGAGGAAGGGAGGGAGGGAGGAGGGGAAGGAAAAGGAAAGGGAGAGAGAAAGTGTAAGGGAAGGAGGAAGAGACGGAGGGAGGGAGAGCGAGGGAAGAAGGGAGGGAGGAAAAGTGAAGAAGGAAGGAAGAGAAGGAGAAGTGAGAGAGGGAGGAAGGAGAGGTAAGGGAAGGGGGGGAGAGAGAGAGAGAGAGAGAGAGAGAGAGAGAGAGAGAGAGAGAGAGAGAGAGAGAGAGAGAGAGAGAGAGAGAGAGAGAGAGAGAGAGAGAGAGAGAGAGAGAGAGAGAGAGAGAGAGAGAGAGAGAGAGAGAGAGAGAGAGAGAGAGAAATAATCCACACCTTCCTAAACGCACCCCAAACCCACCCTAACCCCCCCCCTAACCCACTCACCACATATCTATGATCGTGAAGTCGGCGCCAAAGAGTTCGAATCCGTGCCTGAAGACGTCAATAGCCCCCCCCCACCCACCCACCCACTCACCACCCTCCCAAACCGCTTTTAAAATCCCCCCCCCCTTTCATATACCCACTTACCCACCCCCAACCCACCCCCAACCCACTCACTCAAATCCACCGCGAGCACGAAGTCGTCGCCGAACAGTTCGAATCCGTGCTTGAAGATATTTATAACTCCCCTTTACTCTCTCCCCCTTTCCAAAACCCACCCACTTGCCCACCCATCCATCCCTAACCCCTAACCCACCCCCAACCCACCCCCAAACCCACCCCAAACCCACCCCCAACCCCCTCATCTCAATTCCCCCGGCGCCAAAGTGTTCGAATCCGTACCTGAAGATATATATATATATTTTAATCTACCCTCCCCTTTCCAAAAACCCACCACCCATCCCCAACCCACTCCCAACCCACCCCCAACCCACCCCCACAACCCACTCACCTCAAATCCTCCGTGAGCATGAAGTCGGCGCCAAAGAGTTCGAATCCGTGCTTGAACGTGTCCATCTCGACCTGCGCAGCCAACATGGCCGCCACGAGAGCGTCGCGCATTCCGGGATAAATCACCTCGTCCCAGAATTTCTCCTTTTTTAGACTTCTGCGGACGGTAGAGGGAGAGATAATTGATAATTGATGATGATGGTGGAGAGGAGGATGGTGATGAAGAGGAGGAAGGCGAGAGAGAGGAGGATGGTGAAGATAGGGATAGTGATGATAAAATAATAATATTCTCGTCCCAGATTTTTCATTTTTTTAGACTTCTGCGGACGGTAGAGAAAGAGATAATTGATGATGATGGTGGAGAGGAGGATGGTAAGGAAGAGGAGGAAGGCGAGGGAGAGGAGGATGCTAATAGAAAGGAGAATGGTGGAGATAGGGATGGTGACGATAATAATAACTGCGGACAGTAGAGAGAGAGATAATTGATGATGATAGTGGAGAGGAGGATGGTGATGAAGAGGAGGATGGTGAAGATAGGGATGGTGATGATAATAAAATGATAAAATAATAATAACCTCGTCCCAGAATGTCACCTTTTTTTTTAGATTTCTACAGATAGTAAATAGAGAGATAACTGATAATGATGGTGGAGAGGAGTATGGTGATGAAGAGGAGGAAGGTGATGAAGAGGAGGATGGTGATGAAGAGGACGAGCATGATAGAGATAAGAATAGTGATGATAAATGATGATAAAGATAACCTTTATTTGACTTCCGTATATGGTAATGAGAGAGATAATGCTTGATAACTGTGGATATGATAATGATAATAAAATTCAAATAAATGATTCTTTTAATATTTGGTCATATATCCATTTTTTTACCTTTCCTTTTATTTATAATCTACCTCCTCTCTCTTTATTTCCTCTCCCTCCCTCTTTTTTCCTCGTCTTCAATTATCCTCCATTTCATTCCATTCTGTCCGCTATTATCTTTCCTTCTTCCTTTCTCCCTCTGCAATATCTCTTTCGGATTCCCTCTGTTTTCTCGGTAATTGCATTTTCCCTTCTTTCGTCTCTGTTATTCCCCTTTCTCCCCTTTCCCCTCTTTCGTATTTTGCTTCATTAGGAAAAAAATAGTAATGGCTAATAATGTTTTGTAAGATTATATGGAATTATTAACTTCCATTTAATAATTGTGTGTTTTTTTATCCTTATTTTATCATTTTCTCTTTTTCTCTTTCTCTCTCCCTCTCCCTCTCCCTCTCTCCCTCCCTCCCTCCCCTCTCCCTCTCCCCTTCCACCCACCCACCTCCCACCCTTCCCTCCACCCATCCACCTCCCACCCCTCCCCCTTCCTCCCCCTTCCACCCACCCACCCACTCCACCCTTCCCCCTCCCTAACTCCTCACCTGAGATACTCCTTGAACTGATAACAATCCCATCTCTCTCTCTCTCTCTCTCTCTCTCTCTCTCTCTCTCTCTCTCTCTCTCTCTCTCTCTCTCTCTCTCTCTCTCTCTCTCTCTCTCTCTCCCTCTCCTTCCCCCTCCACCCACCCCTCCACCTCCCACCCCTCCACCCCTCCACCCTTCCCCCTCCCGAACATCCTCACCTGAGATACTCCTTGAACTGATAACAGTCCCATCTCTCTCTCTCTCTCTCTCTCTCTCTCTCTCTCTCTCTCTCTCTCTCTCTCTCTCTCTCTCTCTCTCCCTCTCTCCCTCTCCCTCTCCCTCTCCCTCTCCCTCTCCCTCTCCTTCCCCCCTCCACCCACCCCTCCACCTCCCCCCCTCCACCTCCCCCCCTCCACCTCCCCCCCTCCACCTCCCCCCCTCCACCTCCCCCCCCTCCACCCATCCACCCTTCCCCCTCCCTAACTCCTCACCTGAGATAATCCTTGAACTGATAACAATCCCATCTCTCTCTCTCTCTCTCTCTCTCTCTCTCTCTCTCTCTCTCTCTCTCTCTTTCACTCTCCCTCTCCTTCCCCCCCTCCACCCACCCCTCCACCTCCCATCCACCCTTCCCCCTCCCTAACAGTCTCACCTGAGATACTCCTTGAACTGATAACAGTCCCACATGTTTTCATCCGGCAACTCCCCGCTTCGTTCGCCATTCAGGTACTTGCACTGAATGGCATTGTTGCTCAAATGGATCGCTTCGTTGTTGTTGGTGAGGTCGTACTGTTGCGAGCAGAAGCGAAGGTAGCATTCTCTGCAACGGGAGAATGGATAAGTGAGAATGGATGAGGGATTGTGTTATAGGGGTTTGTAGGATGTGAGAGGGGGGGGAGGAAGGGAGGAAGGAAGGCATAGAGGAAGGGAGGAAAAGTATAAGTGATTATGTAAGGGTGTGCGTAGGATGTGTGGGGAAGGAAGGAAGGAAGGAAGGGATGAAGGAAGAAGGCATAGAGGAAGAGAGGAAAGAGATAAGGGATTATGTTAAGTTTTTTTTTTGTAGGATGTGTGGGGAGGGAAGGAAGGAAGGAATGAAGGAAGGCATAGAGGAAGGGAGGAAAAGGATAAGTGATAATGGAAGTAGGTGTGTAAGAAGGAAGGAAGGAAGGAAGGAATGAAGGAGGGCATAGAGGAAGGGAGGGAAGGGATACGTGATTATGTAAGGGTGTGTGTAGGGTGAGGGGAAGGAAGGAAGGAAGGAAGGAAGGCATAGAGGAAGGGAGGAAAAGGATAAGTGATAATGGAAGTAGGTGTGTAAGAAGGAAGGAAGGAAGGAAGGAAGGAAGGAGGGCATAGAGGAAGGGAGGAAAAGGATACGTGATTATGTAAGGGGGTGTGTAGGATGAGGGGAAGGAAGGAAGGGGATAAATGTTTTTAAGAGATGAGGGAAAAGAAGGAAGTAAGGAAGGGAAGGGACGGAAGGAAAGGAGGAAGGGAGGAAGAGGATAACTGCTTATGTAGGATGAGGAGGAAGGAAGGAAGGGGAGAAGTGAGAAGGACGTGAGGAAGAGACGATAGGTGCTTATAAAAGATGAGGGGAAAGGAAGAGGTAAGGAAGAGAGGGGATAAGTACTTATGTAAGTGGTTGTACAGGATGAGGAGGAAGGAAGGAAGGAAGATACTGATAAAGAGAAAGAGAACAAAGAAAGGAAGAAAGGAGGGGATGAGGGTAAAGAAAGAAGTAAGGGAAAGAGGGGATAAGTGGTTGTGTATGATGAGGAGGAAAGAAGAAAAGAAGGAAGGGAGGAAGAGGATAAGAATGTTGGGAGAGAGAGAGAGAGAGGGAAAGAGAGAGAGAGAATGATAAAGAGAAAGCGAAAGGAAGAAAGAAAGAGAAAAGGGTAAAGAATAAAGTAAGGAAGAGAAGGGACAGGTACTTATAAATGATGAGGAGGAAGGAAAGAAGGAAGGCACAGAGAAAGAGTAGGATGAGGATAAAGATAGGAAGGAAGGGAAGAAATAAGAAAAAAAAGGGGATAAGTGCCTATATAGGATGAGGGAGAAGGAATAGATAAAGGAAGAAAATAAGGAAGAAAACAGGTGCTTATTTAGGACGAGGAGAAAGGAAGAAGGAAGGGTATCAGTGAACAAAGAAGGAAGAGGGAAGGAAGAGGGGAAAAGGGATTATATAGGATGTGGTCAATGAAGAGGAAGAGAAACGGAGAAGAGAAGAAGTTAGAATCATCTGGTTATTGATTGTGAAGAGGAGAATAAGTGATAATGAAGAATGAGGGGAAGGAAGGAAGGAGGGAAGGAGGGACGAAAGAAAGAATGAAGGAAGGAAGGGAGGAGGGAAGGAAAGAGGGAAAAGAGGGACGAAGGAAGGAAGGAAGGAAGGAGGGAAGAGAGGGACGAAGGAAGGAAGGAAGGAGGGACGAAGGAAGGAAAGAAGGACGTAGGAAGGAAGGAGGGACGAAGGAAGGAAGGAAGGAGGGACGAAGAAAGGGAGGAGGAAAGAGAGGGACGAAAGAAGGAAGGAGGGAAGGAAGGAGGGAAGAGAAGGACGAAGGAAGAAAGGAAGGAAGGAAGAGAGGGACGAAGGAAGGAATTAAGGAGGAAAGAGAGAAACGAAGGAAGGCAGGAAGAAAGGAGAGGAGAGAAGGAGACAGGAAGAGTCGGAGGAAGGAGGGGAGAAAAGAAGAGAAAGAAAGAGGAGAAAAAGATAGGATACGAGAGAATATTTTCATTTTACTTCTGAATTGAAATAATTTCGTTTTCTGTTTGGAATTTAAAAAGAAAACGAATATATAATCCTGTTTATTCTTGAACATTACTCTCTGAATTTGACCGAAAGAGGGAAAAGAAGAGACTAAGGATAAGAGAGATAACGGAAAAAAAAGAAAAATAACTGAAAAAAAAAGAATCATCAACTCATATTTGCGAACAGATATTTGCAAATATTCAAAAAAAAAAAAAAAAAAAAAAAAAAAAAAACGAAAACATCCCCGTATCAGAAAAAAAAATGAAACAAAAAAACAACAACATAAACAAACAAACCCAACACCCCAACAAACAAAATAAACCAACAACCCACAGACCAAAAAAAAAAAAAAAAAAAAAAAAAAAAGAAAGAAAGAAAGAAAAAAAAATACCTACTTGTAAACCCAGACGTGCAAGGGATTCCAATCCGTGATCATGAACCACTGTCTGATGTCGAATTTTGTGTTGTGGATCAAGAGAGGCCGTTCTGTCGAGGAAGCGGTGGCGGTCAGTTTACGAGGGGGGGGGGGGAGGTGTGGGAGGGAAGGAGAGAGAGAGAGAGAGAAAGAGAGGGAAGGAGGAGGAGAAAAGAGGGAAGGAGGAAGAGAGAGAGGATAGGAGGGAGGGAAGGAGGAGGAGAAAAGAGGGAAGGAGGAAGAGAGAGAAAGAGGAAGAGAGGAAAGGAGGGAGGGAAGGAGGAGGAGAAAAGACGGAAGGAGGAAGAGATAGAGAAAGAGAGGAAAGGAGGGAGGGAAGGAGGAGGAGAAAAGAGGGAAGGAGGAAGAGAGAGAGAGGAAAGGAGGGAGGGAAGGAGGAGGAGAAAAGAGGGAAGGAGGGAGAGAGAGAGAAAGAGAGGAAAGGAGGGAGGGAAGGAGGAGGAGAAAAGAGGGAAGCAGGGAGAGAGAGAAAGAGAGGAAAGGAGGGAGGGAAGGACGAGGAGAAAAGAGGGAAGGAGGAAGAGAAAGAGAGAAAGAGAGGGAAGGAGGAGGAGAAAAGAGGGAAGGAGGAAGAGAGAGAGAAAGGGAGGGAGGAGGAAGTGTGAGGGAAGGAGGAAGAGAGAAGAGGGAAGGAGGGAGGAAGTGTGAGGGAAAAAAGAAGGAGGGAAGGAGAAAGAGAGAAGAGGGAAGGAGGGAGGGAGGAAGTGTGAGAGGGAAAAAAGGAAGGTGTGGGAGGGAAGGAGGAAGAGAGAAGAGGGAAGGGGAGGGAGGAAATGTGAGGGAAGGAAGGAGGATGGGTAGGAGGCACAGAGAGAGAGAGAAGGAGGGAAGGAGGAAGAGAGAGAGAGAGAGAGAGAGAGAGAGAGAGAGAGAGAGAGAGAGAGAGAGAGAGAGAGAGAGAGAGAGAGAGAGAGAGAGAGAGAGAGAGAGAGAGGGAAGGAGGAAGTGTGAGGGGAAAAAAGTAAGGTGTAGGAGGGAAGGAGGATGGGTAGGAGGCAGAGAGAGAGAGAGAAAGGGGGGGAAGGAAGGAGAAAGGAAGGTGTGGGAGAGAAGGAGGAAGAGAAAAGAGGGAAGGAGGGAGGAAGTGTGAGGGGAGGGAAGGAGGATGGGTAGGAGGCAGAGAGAGAGAAAGGGAGGGAGGGAGGAAGAGTGAGGGAAGGAGGAAAAGTAGGAGAAAGAGGGAAGGAGGAAGGAAAGGGAGAGAGGAAGTGTAAGGGAAGGAGGAAGAGACGGAGGGAGGGAGAGCGAGGGAAGAAGGGAAGGAGGAAAAGTGAAGAAGGAAGGAAGAGAAGGAGAAGTGAGAGAGGGAGGAAGGAGATGTAAGGGAAGGGAGAGAGAGAGAGAGAGAGAGAGAGAGAGAGAGAGAGAAAGAGATAGAGAGAGAGAGAGAGAGAGAGAGAGAGAGAGAGAGAGAGAGAGAGAAAGGCAGAGAGAAAGAGAAAGAGAAAAAGAAACAAACAAACAAACAAAGAACAAAAGAGAAAAAGAAAGAGGGAGAGAGAGAGAGATGGATAAACGGATAGGCAGATAGATAAATAGATAGGTAAATAGATTGGTTGACCGATGGATTGATTGATTGATAAAGTCATAGATACGGGAATAGATAGGTAGATAGATAAATAGATAGGTAGGTAGGTAGACAGACAAACAGTCTATCAGAGAGATAGGCAGGCAGGTTGATAGATATTATACTTTTTTTTAATTTTACGACAAACTTGAAAATACTGATTGTAATTACTATCACTATAACCAACAGCTTTTAAGATTAAATGTTAAACATATTTTGTACATAAGAGTCATTCACTTACATATGTAATCATTTAGATACAAATAAAAGACACTGGCATAATCAAACATGCAGACATTATTCCAAACACAAAGCATGGCATAACATTTAATATATGAGAAATATAGAGATAAACACACACGCCTTAACCAAATTATAAGTTTTTACACACACAGAATCTTTCTTTCTTT